GGTAATTAATTAGTATTGCAAATTACATCGCTGGAGTTGGAAAAGCATTTTTAAAATGTGAAATTATTTGAAGGCATAGCGATTTTATCATAAAATATATTTACATTTTTCAGGCAATGACAAATTGTAGTCGAGTTTTTTAGCCAGACCGAGTGGAAAAAAAGTTAACTTCAACCCTTTAAATTATCTATAATTACTTATAGTTTCGATCTGAAAAGGTTAGAAAATGGGCTTTTGTGGGCTTTTTTTTCAATTTAAAGATTTATGACCAGGTCACTTGCGTAATTTACAATGACACAACTTGTGACCTTGTTTTGATAAAGTTAGAAAACAATTGTCAATTTAGAAAGCATTGGAAACATTATCATTAACATATTCAGGCATTCAAATGCAATATAAAAGTTAGGGAAAATATTCAATTATAAGCAACAAGCAGAAAATTCCGTTTTTACCATGTTAAAGGTTGTTTTATTTCTCTTTTCGAACTTACAATATGCAACTAAAATGTCCGCCAAAAGACTCCAAATTGCATGTTCACAGCGATGTCGCATTTTTACAAGCGCGGAAACTTTTTAACTTTTAAATATTTCATGCACAATATATGAAAACTAGCTTTATTTTGATGTTTTTGGATAATTTAATTACGTAATTTTCTGAAAATCATCAAATGATAATGGGCTTTTTTAATTTTTAAACATTTTTTTGCCCTTATTTTTGACATGTGCATGCCAAATCTACACAATGCCATAACGAATGCAAGCAAGCGATAGTTTGTTGTCGCAGTTTTACAAGTGCGGAAAATTTTTAACTTTTAAATATTTCATGCATAATATATGAAACCTATTTTTATTTTGATGTTTTTGGATAATTTAAGTACCTAATTTTCTGAAAATCATCAAATGAGAATAGGCTTTTTTTGTTTAAACATACTTTTTTCCAGCTTTTTTCATAGGGTGTCAGATTTCAAAAACGCAAAGTCGAAGGCAATGCTATTCCATGTGTAGATTTCGGCATGGACATGTCAAACTGAATCAGGGCAAAAATGTTTAAAAATTAAAGCCCCGTTTACACTACGCTCGATTTTTGGTACGGCACGGGTAAAATTGGTATCCGTACCACTTTTTTGGTTTCAAAAACCTACTTAAATTATACAAAAACATCAAAATAAAAATAGGTTCATATATTGTGCATGAAATATTTAAAAGTTAAAAATTTTCCGCGCTTGTAAAACTGCGACAACAAACTATCGCTTGCTTGTATTTCATGTGTAGATTTGGCATGCACATGTCAAAAACAAGGCTAAAAAAAATGTTTAAAAATTAAAAAAGCCCATTTTCATTTGGTGATTTTCAGAAACTTACGTACTTAAATTATACAAAAACATCAAAATAAAAATAGGTTTCATATATTGTGCATGAAATATTTAAAAGTTAAAAATTTTCCGCGCTTGTAAAACTGCGACAACAAACTATCGCTTGCTTGTATTTCATGTGTAGATTTCATAAATTTGGCATGCACATGTCAAAAATAAGGCCAAAAAAATGTTTAAAAATTAAAAAAGCCCATTCTCATTTGGTGATTTTCAGAAAACTAGGTACTTAAATTATACAAAAACATCAAAATAAAACTAGTTTTCATATATTGTGCATGAAATATTTAAAAGTTAAAACTTTTCCGCGCTTGTAAAACTGCGACAACAAACTATCGCTTGCTTGTATTTCATGTGTAGATTTGGCATGCACATGTCAAAAACAAGGCCAAAAAAATGTTTAAAAATTAAAAAAGCCCATTTTCATTTGGTGATTTTCAGAAAATTACGTACTTAAATTATATAAAAACATCAAAATAAAAATAGGTTTCATATATTGTGCATGAATATTTAAAAGTTAAAAATTTTCCGCGCTTGTAAAACTGCGACAACAAACTATCGCTTGCTTGTATTTCATGTGTAGATTTGGCATGCACATGTCAAAAATAAGGCAAAAAAAATGTTTAAAAATTAAAAAAGCCCATTCTCATTTGGTGATTTTCAGAAAACTAGGTACTTAAATTATACAAAAACATCAAAATAAAACTAGTTTTCATATATTGTGCATGAAATATTTAAAAGTTAAAAATTTTCCGCGCTTGTAAAACTGCGACAACAAACTATCGCTTGAAAAAAAAACTTGTTGTTTTTATCAATTTATGGCGCTTCATCTGGTGGAACTTGACAAAAATACATGTGATTGAACATACCTGATTTCCAAACACACATTCCAGTTGCAGGTTTTACAACAACAGCCGTTTAAAAAACTTTTTCTTCGTCTTTTTTGGCATCTTATAAACGAACGAAATTGTTTTGCAAAAACAATCGATCCTCGTGAGTGAGATCCCAGACTTATATCTTACACTACAACATTCCCCATATAATCAGCCGTGATTAAGAATCCGGAAAAAAGATTTTGTGTATAGTAATAGCACAGATCCCAAATCCATTGTGAATTCAGCTTGAATTGTACCTTTTTACGTAGTAATTTTAAACAAACATATATGCATGCCTGATCAAACCACATCGAATTCGAATAAAAATGAAAATATGCGGGGGGACCTGCATCACACATAGATCAGGGGCGCCATAGCCGTTTCACCGCCCGTGTTTTACAGCGCCCTGATCTGGAGGACAAATTAGCAATCTATGCATAATATAACTTTTGTAAACAAAGAAAATTTTGTAAAACTTTATAATAATTTTATATCAAAATGGTTAATTTTTGCGCTGTATGTGGTTGTGGTACCCCGAACAGATATTGTTAGGGAGCATCTGGAGGACACTCTAAGGATTTGTGACGTCATTGCAATGGGTCTATCGGCTTCCTGGCAGATTCGATCGGTGCGGCGCTCTAACCATGATTGACCAGTGTTGGGTTAAGGTTAGGTTTAATTGATATATATTCATATTCGAATTCTTCCACTCTCAGACAGACAACGTGTATGATAAAAATGTTGGTATAAAACTGTTAAATGATAAAAATGATAAAATTGTTCCTTATTTTTACTATGAACGCGATGCAAAGCTTTAAAGAAAACGTGTATGATTTTAAGGCATTTATAGGTTCGATTTGCGAAGTAAAATTACAGTCGACCATGCATTTAAGAAATCATTTAGCCTAACCTTTTAATACGTTGAGCATGAACGCGATGAGAACACCGCTGGACGGCAGACCAGTTGTGTGCAGTTCAAGATTGCCAATACTAGCTTTGGTCGCAGGCTCAACTTCCACATTATAATCTTTTAAATCTTGCTCTGTAATTATTCCTTGATTGGATGAAATGTCATTAACGATATCTTCAGCAAGAGATCCGTCATAAAACGATGTAGGCTGTAATCGTATTCTCCCTAACGTGATAGCCAGTTCCCGATTGACCAGCCTGTCACCCACTTTCTTCAAACAACCGTTCGCCTTAACCAACAGTTCTCTAATGGTGAAACAACAAATGTTTAAGTACTGTTTAATAAACGAGCAGGAACGTTTTATTAGGTTTAAAATATTGATTTGATATATTGCATCACATCCTTCCTTCCTTCCTTACTTAGATCATCTCCCAAACTATTATTTTACTTACTTCAAGCCTTCCTGTTGTCGAATGTATTTTTCTTGTTTTTTGATGGCCGTATCCAATGCTTTGTGAATAACGAAACCCTCTCTTGCCAGTTCTATAGCAGGGTCAAGCAGTTCCTCCCACTTAAGTTTTCCATACGTCTTGTGGGCTTCGTACATGCCTTTCACCTCCCCAGGTACAGCAATTGCCAAACCACCTGAATTAATTCATTGTCATTGCATTACGTATTTACATTACGTGTTTTGCGCTTATTTGAGGGCAATGTCAGTATCATTTGTTAGTTAATTAATTAGTTAGTTATTAGTTATTAAATTAGTTACTTAGTTAATTAGGTAGTTAAATAGATAGTAGGTAGTTAGTTAGGTAGTTAGTTAGATAATTAGTTAGTTAATTAGTTAATTAGTTAGGTAGTTAAATAGTTAGGTAGTTCGTTAGTTAGTTAGTTAGTTAGGTAGGTAGTTAGTTAGATAATTAGTTAGTTAATTAGTTAATTAGTTAGGTAGTTAAATAGTTAGGTAGTTTGTTAGTTAGTTAGGTACCTGTAGGTAGGTAGGTAGTTAGATAGTTAGGCAGGTAGTTCGTTAGTTAGGTAGTTAATTAGTTAATTGGTTAATTACTCTGTTAATTAGTTAATTAGTTAGTTATTTAGTTAGTTAGTTAATTAGTATCAGTTAGTTTAATTAGTTGGTTTTTGGTTTTGACTGATTAATATGTTTGTGTGTTGTTACTATCACTCAGTTAATTGGTTGTTCTTTGGGTTGGTTTGTTGCATAGAAAACATCTGAGATAAGAAAACATCTCACCCAATTTCGACTCATCAGACGTTGTATTCACAAACATATCCTGCGTGGCATTTCTAGGTGCCCTTTCTCTAAAGTTGAAATACTGAGCAGTCTTGTTCGTCTTGTTATACACAACCATGACAGCCCCGCCCCCAATGCCGGCAGAATGCATGTTGATCACACCGATACAGAACAAGCTTGCAATTGCTGCGTCTACGGCCGAGCCATCTTTTTTCAGGATATCTACACCTATCTTCGAGCACCTCACATCATCAGCTGCTACAGCTGCGTTTCTGTACGGCCCCTACAACGAGAAGGATCAATGTACATACATATACATACCCATACATACAAATTTATTTACCTGGGTTCGTGGCGGTCTTTGAAATCCTTGAAAGTCTTTAAATTTGGATGCAGATCTTTATTTTAAGGTCTTTGAAAAGTTCTTGAATTGTGTGAAAAAGCGAAGAAAGTCTTTAAAAGTCTTTAAATTCTTTAGTGAGGAATTGATTATACGATTTCCTAGCTAATAAAATTGATTGATTGAAGCAAGATTTTCGCAAATATCGACGAAAAGGCGCATTTTAGGATGTGATTTGACGGGACTAATTACTGTGTAAAAATGGTGCTTACATTCGCAATTTATCGACAGCTAATTGCTCTCAAAGGGCTTTGAAAAGTCTTTGAAAATAGGCAGAAAAAATCTTTGAAAGTCTTTGAATTGTTTTGGTCTTGGAGTCTACGAACCCTTAATTGTAAAGGCACACGTTTATTGTGCCTCCTTCCTTTTTAATAAAGACATAATAATAAGAATAAGAATAATAATAATAACCCTGTTTACGCACGTTAGCCCCAACAACAAGTTGTTGATTTCCATGTGGGATGTGCGGACATACAGAATAGAAATACAAATGTGTTCATACAAATAGATAAGAATAAAAAGAAACTAATTCAAATTATCACTTTTATCAATTTTATCAGTTTTTTGAAAATATCTAGTGCTAGTTTTCATATTAGTGTCGTACATGTATATACTAAAATACCTGATTTGGTGGTGGTCCAGGGGGTGGGGCATCAGTGGCTTTTGGGCAATTATTAGGTGGTGTAGTGGGGAAGGTGGTAGGTTTCTCAGTAGCATTTGGTTTCGGAGAGATGGTTGTTGATTCCTCAGGACCTGTGGTGGCTATGATTTTGCTCGTATTGCTCTCCGAATCTGAGTCGGATTCTTCTTTTGCATATAGGACTGCAAGAACTACCACGGCGATGAGGAGAAGTATTATAAGGACGACGGCTAGAACTAGAGCCTTCTTACTGCTCTTTGATCTGTAACCACTGAAGAGAATTGATCTTGTCTTAGCTACTTTTGGGGATTTGATGGAAGTACTGGTATGTTACTAATGTATGGGGGGGGGGGGCACCGGTTGCTCAAAAGCCGACTAGGGATAACTCCAGGTTAACTTAACATTCAAAGCACACTTGCTTTGCGTCATAGTTGTATCGGAGAAAACTAATTAGTGAGCTTAAGCAAGCATTGTAGTATAACTAATATTGGCGCCATTTTGCATCAGCGCTCTTGTAAGGAAGAAAAAAAAACTTTAAAGACGTCGCTTCTTTAATAAGCTCGCTAACTATTTTCTAAAGCTGTTTCCTGGCAGAATTGCGTAATATTTAATAGATGATGAATGATGGGGTAACATGGGATCATGAATGTCTGAGGGATAATTGTGCAATGAGGAAATACAATTGCTAAATATTGCATAAATTTCATGTCTGTGTTAGGCAACCCAGGGTGCGCCTTTTGTCAAACACTTAGTTTTGGAATGCGATAATTCTTTGTTTGCACTCATGTGACTTTTCATTCAAATAACGGGCAATCAAACAACTTGTGGGCGATCTTCCTCCTATCAGAATGGTTGTAGCAAGAAAAAACTGAACGGCAATTCATCGTTTGAGTCTTACGCCCGTATTCTAAAAGCTCACTCACACTCAATGAGTGGAGGTTCAATCTGAGCTTCTCTCGAGTGTCAATGCTGTTTTTGAATAGCTGGAGGCTTAGTGTCATACCCTTACTATGTGACTACTAATACTCCTGCTATTCAAAAACAGCATTGATACAATGATACTCACGAGAAACTCAGATTGAACCTCCACTCACGCATCTGATTGGTTAATCGAATATTTCAAACGCATCTGAAAGTCAAATACGAACGTTGCTAATAACATGACGCGTATTGCCTCAGTGCCTCTTATTGTCTCGCGATCAAACAAAATGACAATTTCATGATAAAACAAATAAAACAAGACGTCGTCAAGGTGCTAACGTACATAAAACATTTAGTAATGAAATTAAATTCCTGTCTGTGTTGGATTTGAAGGTCAAAACTATTGCGAAACTTAATAGAATTAAAATTTGTCCTATTAAGTATTAGTACTACTGTATTATGAAATGTGATACAATTGAATTCTGAACTTTGAAACTCTATTATTTCGTCCCATCACTTTCCAATTATCAATGATTAAAGTCGTTTGATGTTAGACAAAATACTAAAATACAAATTTACATGATACGAAAATACCGACCAAAGTCCGTATCGTTCTTGTATCTGACATATACGATTCGAAGAGTTGGTGGTATATTCTGCGACTGTAGAATACAACTTCGGGTTTCTGGATCACCGTTCTACCCTTTGAGCTATCGAATCAACGGGAATTCCTTGACTTAATAATTCAATGGGTAGAGTGGTCGTCTAGAAACCCCAAGATGTGAGTTCGAATCTATCGAATCCCGCTCGAGACAAGGAATTTTTCGTTGCTCTCTGTGAATAATATGAAACTAGTTTTTCATATCTCTGAAGGTTGTTCTGAAACAGTACGTAGTGCATTTTCATTAATTGTGCTTAGTCGCATGTCAGAAGAGTGCTTCTAGTATGAATTTGGCAAACTTTGCAGGTTTTCTTTGTCTACCTGTAGTAATACTGCACTAATAAGGCATGTGGCTTACTTTCCATTAACGGGGAAACTTCTTGACCACTTATATAAAACCGCATATAAAGACTTAATAGGACTTCCGCATAAAGCAATGTTCGTGGGATCCTCATACAAGATCAAGCTGAATCGTATGTTATGTTCAATTAACAATTACAGCTAATAAATAATATTTCCTGCCTAACCTAAAACGAGGTCACACAAGGTTTAGGCTACAGCGTACAGAGACTACTGCGAGTTTTATTCAGTTAAATTGCACGAATTTATCACATCTAAGGACACTTGTAAGTTTTAAGACGTGCGAGTTCGAAGCATTCGCAACAACGAATTTCCTTGTTACAAACACTGTATAATATTAAGGAGGATAATTCATTTAAAGGCAAGCGTTATGTTTAATGGTAACCGTGTAGTATACCATTACTGGCACTAGTGTACCGAACAAATTACATTCACAACCCAACAGTTCAACACGGCAGTGCAGCATCTTCATTAGGGGTGGCTTCAGTCAAGTACTTCGTCCAGGTCTTCATTAAAACGTGCATGGCTTTAGTCGATTGCTGGAATTCACTTTGGCCCTGATGAAGATACTAGACTAACGCCCGTATTCTAAAAGCTCACTCATACTCAATGAGTGGAGGTTCAATCTGAGCTGCTCTTGAGTGTCAATGCTGTTTTTGAATAGCTGGAGGGTGAGTTATCACATAGTAAGGTGTAACACCTGCCCTCCAGCTATTCAAAATCAGCAATGACACTCTAGAGAAGCTCAGATTGAACTTCCACTCATTGAGTGTGAGTGTGAGTGAGCTTTTAGAATACGGGCGTAAATGTCGAGCCGTGAACGCAATCTGTTGGGAATTGCATTCTGTTACTTGATAACTGACTATTGTTGTTCTCTGCTGGGTCAGAATAAATACGAGAATTGTACTTTCGTTTTTTCGCTTTACCTTTCAATAGTAAAACCACCTTCCAAATTTGGGTTTGACATGGCAAGATCATTACTCGAGGCTCCACGATTGTTCATGACTGTCTTCTTGTATATAGGAGGATCGTTCTACCTTCCTCTGTTTCTGATTATTGTATATACGGAACAAGAACGAGATTATATCTAATCAGGTATTTTGACGAGTTGCATCACACCTCGCATATAGCAATTTATGTTTAATTCATTAAGTGGACATTGCGGACGTGTTTTAAGTCAACATAAAGTTTGCATGATAATACGTTTCATAATGGTATTTGCTTTTGCACAAAATTACTGTCGAAACAGTCAAAAGTACTCCAGAAAAGGCAGATGTAGTATAGATCAAATTACAGATGTGTATTCAATCAGTTCTAAATGAAAACTATATTGCATAACGTCCAGATTGTCAATGACACAGCCATATTGGAACTTAAGTTTTTAAACATTTAATTAAAATTACAGTGGCACGCTGAGTTTATTATAAACTTTTTTTTTTTACTCATTTGCGTTTGGTTCATGAAATTTCGTCAGAGGGCAGTTTAATATCTTTCTCAGCAGGACAGACTTTTTTTGCACGGGACATTCATGTCACTCGACGCTCAGCCGCAAGTTGTGGCATGCATTTTTTCGCGTTGCTCGAAAACATTGCGTATATTTGTGTTGTGTTACACTGTGCTGCAATTGTATTATTGCATATTGTATTGTTATTGTATGGTATGGTATGGTATGGTATGATATGGTATGGTATTGTTGGTATCGTATGGTAATGTGTGGTGTGGTATGATTTTTGCAGCCTGAGTATACGCCCACGCAAGGATGGTATGGTATTGTGTGTTATGGTGTAGTATGGCATGGTATTGTGTGATATGATCTTGAATAGTATGGTGTGGTATGGTATGGTATGGTATGGTAATATAATAGTAAGGTAGGCTATTGTGTGGTATGATTTGGTATGGTATGGTATGGTATGGTGTGGTATGGTATGGTATGATACTCTTGACGAAGGGCCTTCGCTCGAAACGTCGAGTTTCTGCTTATTTTTTAAGGTAGTAATATAACCACTCAGCACAGCATTTTCACATTGGTACTACCCACACTGGTACAGACAGTTTTAGTATGGTATGGTATAGGTATGGCATGACATGGCATGGTGTGGCATGGCATGGTATGGTATGGTATGGTATGGTATGGTATGGTATGGTATGGTACTGTTTAGTTCGAGGGAAACATTAAGATTCGAGGGAAAACAAAACTAACTATTTCCCGAGGGAACAGGCATTAAGTGTTTTGTTATATAGCGACGAACAAAAATCAACTTCAACAACATTCATACAACAATTGTATTTCGTGACAAAAACTCTATAGTGTAAACGAGTTTAAAATTAAGAACCTGCTTAAACGGTTTCAGCAGCATATCCTGTTGCCTGTTGTGTATTTTTTCTTCTCTTTTATATTCTTTATTTGAACACAAACTTGGAAAATCATAGTTTCTAATTATCTGAGTTGTGCCTCCATTTTGTTTATTTATGTACGTGGCCGGTCGGGGTGGGCAACAATTTTTCACTTGTTGCCCGGCGGGAAACATTGCATTTATCTGAAGTCACGTGACCACGAATCAGCCAATCACGTTTGGTGTTCACGGTAGCTATATAACAACTTGAGTTGTACACTTGTACCACAGAATAGGAAGTCATACCAGAAG